TAACCATGTAAACTAATTAAAACTTATCATGTTAGCCTAACCTAAAGTGAACGTTCTATTTATATTAAAGGGGTCATCGGATGCCCATTTTGCACAAGTTGATATGATTCTTTAGGGTCTTAATTAAAAGTCTATAACATACTTTGGTTAAAATTTCTCAATGGTAGTGTAAAAAAACTTTTTAAACCTGTCAAAATCTCTATCTATCTATCTTCAGTATGATTATATCTATCTATCTATCTATCTATCTATCTATCTATCTATCTATCTATCTATCATCTATTTCTATCTATCTATCTATCTATCTATCTATCATCTGACTATTTCTATCTATCTATCTATCTATCTATCATCTAACTATTTCTATCGATCTATCATCTATCTATCTATCTATCTTCAGTATGATTCTATCTATATATCCATCTATCTATCTATCTATCTATCTATCTACTATCTACTCTCTCTCTCTCTCTATCTATGAATCTATATGAATCTATGAATTTTTCTTTCTTTCTTTCGTTCGTTCTTTCTTTCTTTCTTTCTATCTATCTACACACTCTCTCTCTCTATCTATCTATGAATCTATATGAATATATTAATTTTTCTTTCTTTCTTTCTTTCTTTCTTTCTATCTACACACTCTCTCTCTATCTATCTATGAATCTATATGAATCTATGAATTTTTCTTTCTTTCTTTCTCTTTCTTTCTATCTATCTATCTATCTATCTATCTATCTATCTATCTGTCATCTGACTGTCTATCTATTATCTGACTATCTATCATCTGACTATCCATCTGACTATCTATCTATCTATCTATCTATCTATCTATCTATCTATCTATCTATCTATCTATCTATCTATCTATCTATCTATCTATCTATCTATCTATCTATCTATCTATCTATCTATCTATCTATCTATCTATCTATCTAATCTGAATATTTCTTTCTTTCTTTCTTTCTTTCTGTCATCTGACTATTTCTATCTATCTATCTATCTATCTATATATCTATATATCTGTCATCTGACTGTCTATCTATCATCTGACTATCATCTGACTATCCATCTGACTATCTATCTATCTATCCTCTGACTATTTCTTTCTTTCTATCTATCTATCTATCTATCTATCTATCTATCTATCTATCTTCAGTATGATTCTATCTATCTAGGTGGAGGTTTGGCTTTGACTGAAGCGGCTCGATCTTGTGTAATAGATCTATTTCCTGCAATAGTAATGAATTGGGCGTAAACTGCCCCCATGATCTTGCATTAGACATGCAGTCATAAAGCCTAAGTGTTCATGTACATAAAGCACAAAGGGCCTATCAGATTGTGCAATTCCTAATCCTGTGTAATAGATCTATTTCCTGCACCAATTGTTTGACCCAGAAATGTGACTTGGTTTTTAGCAATTTGAGCTTTGTGAAAGCTGCATTTGTGTCCTCTTTTCTGCAAATAGTCCAACAATGCTGCCAATTCAGTTTGATGTACCTCGTGGTCTGTAGAGGCGATCAAAATATCATCGACATATTGAATCATAGTGGACTGTTTGACTGGACATTCTGGGTCACACAAATCACGTCTGACAGCCTGATGGTATAAGGTAGGAGAATTCTGATATCCCTGTGGCAAACGTGTCCACTGGTATTGTTCATAGTCAACTGTGAAAGCTAACCATGTCTGGCTGTCAGGGTGCAAGGGTACAGAAAAGAATCCATTAGACATATCGATTACTGAAAAAATCTTACAATCTAATGGTAAGCCATTACAAATTGTAGATGGATCTGCTACTAGGGGGGTGATTTTATCAATATGTTTATTGGCTACTCTGTAGTCTATGGTGAGTCTCCATGTCCCATTGGATTTCTTGATGGGCCATATGGGTGAGTTACAGGGACTGTTGGTTTTAACTAGCACTCCTTGCTTCAGCAATTTTTCTACAATAGGTTTGATTCCCTGTATAGCTTCCTTATTGATCGGATATTGTTTGGTAACAGGAGGTGGAGTTCCTGTCAATTTGACTGGTTCTACGCCTGTCAAAAACCCGCAATCATCCTTGTCTTTAGCCCAAATTGGATGATTTTGTAAGAAAGCATACTCAGGAGTGGTTGCATTATTGGTAGAAACTTGTGCTGAGGAAATTTTTATGCTAGCAGATTCTGAGGACATGTCTAAAGTTAGATGTACTTGTCTCAGTAGATCCATGCCTAGAATTCCAACTGTATTTAATGGAGCACATAGCAATTTTGTAGTCAGAATTTTCAGGCCTAATTGTACCTCTATGGGCGGGGTTTCATACAAAACAGAATCTTCACCTATTACACCAGTTAAACAAAGTTTAGTTTTCTTGTACGTGATGTTTAAATCTTTAGCCAATTTTGTAGGAATTACTGTAATTTCTGCACCTGTATCAAGCAAAAAGTCTATCTCTTTCTCTTGTATGCTACCTTTCACAAAAATTATTTTGTAATTGTGATGGATTACAGGGGAAAGGTAGCTACTCACAGCCCCAACAATTAGTTTTTTTCCTGTTCTTGTTGTGCTTTTAGATAAGCCTGAACGAGCTGTCCTAAAGTTTCAGTGGACACTGGCGGAACTACTTCAGGGTTGTAGGCGGGCTGAGAAGGAGCAGAATTATGCATAGTATTTCTTCTACTATCTTGCAACTTCTTCCTACACTCTTTCTCCCAATGTCCTAATTTTCCACAGTAGTTGCATTTGCCTCCTCTTTTAGGCCATCTATTGTCTTGATTCGTTGTGCTAAACGTAGCAGCTGCTACTCTCACTTTTGCCTTAACATCAGCATCTCTTTCCCATGTAGCTAACCTGTCTAGGTTACTTCTGAGAGTTCTGTTAGACCAAGTTAGATCTAGGAATGGCAAGGCTTTTCTGTACTCGGCTACAAGGCCATCTGACCAGATGCGGACTAGGGGTCCCTTGTCATCTAGCACACTTTCAGGATCATCAACTATTCCACTGTAAGTTACAGCTAACTGACAAAAACTTTCAGTGTATTCACTCACAGTTTCTTATTTCTTTGCACACAGTTAGTGATTCTGGACCAGTCTATGTTGGGTCCCATGATATTCTTTAGAATTTTCAAAACACCTTCTCTCAAATCGCCTTTACTGGCATGTTGTAGTTCAGAAGTAACTGCAGACTTAAAACTGTTGAATTCACATTCAGTTAGACTTTGTAACATCAGCTGTGTGACTTCTGCTAACGACATGTCATAGAGACGCATTATCTTCTCGTAGCGCCACATACCTTCACTGAATCTACAGGCACATCAGTTACTGATTGGATGGCTACATCTGTTTCAAAGAAAGCTTGTAAGTCAGGATAATTGTTATCAGGCTGACTAACTTCTTCCACATCAGTTTTTTCTGCAGCTTTGTTGCGGTTCATTTTCTTAGTCAAAGAGGATACTCTAGCACGGAGCTCTTTGTTCTGTTCCTCTAGCTCGGAGTTACGCTGAGACTGTTGTATAGCCAGCGCTAAACCAAATTCTCTGTGGCAACAGATAATGCCTTTCACATTGTTCTTGCGAATACATGCTCCTAGTACACTTCACCTTAGTTTTTCATGTGACGCTATGTCAGAACATAGGATCAGCATATTTTAAACAGATTCTTAAATTTGTAATCCAACACTAGCTACATGCTAGTAACTTGCTAATCATGCTGGTGACATACTAGTCACTTGCTAATCATGCTAGCAACATGCTAGTTTACTATTTCTTATCTATTTATCTATCTATCTGTCTATTTATGTATCTATTTTTCTGATAGATTGTATTGCCTTCAAAACGTTAAAACTACTTCAAATTAGTTAAAACTTAAAACCCTCAAACTTTAAGCTTTTAAAAAGACTTCAAACTTTCTGGCTAGGCTTTTTCAAGCCAACTTAAAGTTTGTCTTGACGAACTTTTTTATCTAGTTATTATTCTTTACTGAGACTAAAATTATCAACTCTAACTCCTCCTAGAGCTTTAACTCTACAGACTCCAAACTTAGCCCATATCTTCAGACTGATCTGAAGTTAGTTGCTATATCTTTTCTTACTGATTGGACTTACGGTTTTCATAAAAATGAAGATTAAAAATCATAAAAATCCCATAGATTTACATTGAAAAGTCTTGGCTCATCTGAACATTCCGTCAAACTCCAACTGTCAAAATTCAAATCTAAACACACTGAGGCCCATTAGACTCAATCAGACTTGCCTTCTATGTACTATTTCTAACCCATTCAAACTCATGCATCTAATTTTCCTCTATCTATCTATATCTATCTATTATCTGACTATTTCTATCTATCTATCTATCTATCTATCATCTGACTATCTATCTGACTATTTCTATCTCTATCTATCAATCTGCATGGTAAATCCACTGGAATCATTTGTACTTACACATACCATTCAGTGGGTTGTTACATATGTGTAGCTACACAAACATTACAGCTGTAGATACTATGTACGAATGTGTACTAACAGTGTGGTTACATACTATGTACACATCTAGTTACTATATAAGTACTATACAGGTATTAGGGCCACTTAATATAAAGTGGGACCGGCAAGGACATAATGAGGGAGGTGAATTTTAGTCAAAGTTGTCCACATTCTCAGAGTCATAACTTGAGGATGATATTGCAGATTTAAAATGGAATTTAGACCTTAATTATCTCATTTAAGTTTTGTCATCCAGTAATCTTGTCTGTACATGGCTTAATTGCAAAGATGAACTGCTACTAGCTTTATAAACATACTTCAAATAGCATCAGTTTGCCAAAATGTAAATAAAAAATAGCTCAAACTAATATACCAGAACCAAAAGTTTACTTACACAAGTAGGTATAATGTTAGCTTCATTTCACCTGCAATTATTATTTTAAAATTAAAATAAAATACCTACATATTCACTTCGGATTGTATTAAAGTGTGGATTTAAGGTAGCTAAATCGCCAAACCTCCCAGAAAGAAATAAATCCCATTCAAATAACTTGATAACTTTTACTCAAATCTATAATGCTGATGTGCTTTAATGAGCTAACTTGACTTGCCAGACTGGTGAATTTCATAATTAAAACAGCAAACAAAGCCATTAAGTACATTATCTGTTAACTTTAAAGTTACTGGTATAGGTAAATGTACAAATAAAGCATGATAATGAATAATGTTTTGACAGTAACAAGGTCACAAACGCTACTTTAAATAAAAAATGGGGCACAACCTTGTCTGTCATCACAGATGTTGAAAAAGCTATGAGCATGATAATTTAGATTTTTGAAATACAAATTCAGTAATAAAAACAATAACATCTTCAAATAGTTTTGCACATAATGTTTACACAGAAGTGTTTACCTATTTTTAAAGTTTTTTTTAATATGTGAAATTAATGCCAGTGAAAGGCTGCAACAAAACAAGCATTTTCCTCATACCAATCACAAGTTTCAAAGTCCTTTAAGCACTGGAAACAAAAGTTTGAATAACGTATTGAGAAATTAATCAGCACCATAAGTGATTATGACTTTAATAGATAAACTACAAGACACCATAGAATACACAGAAACAAGTACACACGGGAATAATGAACTTAATTATTATAAATAATTAAGGTATAATGGTTAAAACCCAGCCCTGTCCTATTTTCACAGAAAGAAACGAGATGAAACCTTTTACCACTGAAAACTTTATATACAGTAATATACAAAAAAAGAAATATATTTTGTGAGTGAAAGAATCACAAAGCAATTATCAGTGGAGCTCATAATAAAAAAAATGCATTATTAATACAATGTTACTACAACAATTATGTGGCAAATGTGCAATAAACCTCTTGCTTTTGCGCAACTGCTTGTTTAAGTTCGTGCAGAGGAATGAGAGGGAAAGGACAAGCAAAATAAGGAAGTTTGAGGTAATGGTGGATTCATATGACAGAAAAACTAGAAAATAAGAAAATGATAATTTTGCACAACTGAATTCAAAATGCTTTAAAATAAAACTATAAACAATAACAAAAAAAGATTGTCATGAAAATTTTGTCATACATTGCAAATGAACAGTTAGAAATGGACAGGTGAAATACTTCAGGGAAATTTATAGAATTTGCAAGTAGAAAGAACATAGGCTCAACATTCAGTGTCAGGGGAGGACCAGAAGTTCAGAAGAGCACAGCACAATATAAACTCTCTCTGTAAAGGATTCTTAGAAGACTGAGCGTGGTTGCTTCATGCTGTAATGGGCTTCAGTTGCAGACACATATGCAGACTCTGGAAAGAAGTCCTCATGAAACTCTGCCAAAAACCTGAAAGATAATACAAAATAGTTTGAAGCGGAGAAGAAAATAACTGGCAGCCAGTAAAAATTAAGGTACAATAATTACTTCTGATCCAAGGGTTAATAAGTTAAACAACAAACTAACAAACTTTCATAGAAAGTGTGATGCAAAAATCAGGTATAACTTTATAAAAGCTTTCATTATTAAATCAATAAACATCCTATAATGCTTAACAGATCATTAGTTAATATATATTCACATACCTAGAAAAATGAAATAATGTGTTTGTTAATGTTTACTAATGTACTTATCAAACTTTACCTAATGATTAACAGATAGTTATTTAATGTAAATTGATATGGTTACAAATGTCATTAAACTTTTAGTTCACATCATCATGCACTTCTAAATCTAAATGATTTTGTCAGATGGTTTAGTTGACCTCTTGAGAATCTAGCCAGTAGTGGTATTTTATAAAGCACTATAGTTAATGTTTATCAAAAGATAAATGTAGTTAGAAAATGTGAGCAACTCTTTTTAATAGCTACCATAACTGCTACTATAACCAATAACAGTTTTTAGTCTTTCTGCAATCTTTCTCTCCCTGTTGGAGTTGGAATGAGTTTCACGAGTTCGCACTTACATACAAAAGGATTTAGCAAATAGTAAGCATATTTGGCATGGTGTCTTGAAGGAGGGCTCTGAGCTCAGAATATAGCCCAAACCAAGAGAAATCCCCCCCCATCCCCCATCCCTGGGATGAGAATAGTTTACGAGCAGTGTTGGGCAAGTTACTCTGAAAATGTAATCAAATTACTGATTACTGATTACTCCTTTTAAAAGTAATTGTTCTGATTACTTTATTTCAAAAGTAATTAGTAATTTGTTACATTACTAGTTACGTTATTTTTTTTCTCCATGAAATTTATGAAATCCCAGCATAGATTCAAGATTTTTATTTGTCACATACATGGTTATATAGAGAATATATGACCAGCAGTGAAATGTGAGTACACGCTCCCGATAAATATTTGTTATTAAAGCATCAACATTCACAGAACACTGTTATTTTTAACTAAAGCAAGCTGCTTGCATGGTTTGGCATGGCAGAATGCCAGCAAAGAGTGCTGCATTTATAATCTCTAAAAGACATCTCAGTTCATCGCAATCTCACAAATCTGTTATAACACAATAAATATATGTCTAATGTCTACAATTCGTGTGTTATAATGAGAGGATTCGTGAGCACGCAAATCTCAGCACTGCATTGCTCAATGCTGCAAACACGTGTTATAGCCTAAATAGAAACTCTGCATACGCTTGCACCTGTTAATTGTTGCTTTTGTGCAAAAGATGAATAACAATTTATTTGTTTTAGATATTTTATGTTTAGATATTTCTATTTTGTGGGAGTCCCGTGAAACATTTTATTCTCCCGCATCCCGCACACATACGAGTGTCTACCCGCCCTCACCAGCACTCGCTCATCTTGTCCCGCGCCACACTCTGTTGCGTCGGGCCTCGCGGGAGAGCAGGTCTCTAACCCACTGGCACTTGACTCGACAGTGCGTGTGCTACATCCTTTTTA